TGGGGCTCTTTAGCCTGGAAAAGCGCAGGCTCGGGGGTGATCTGGTGGCCACCTATAAGTTTATCAGGGGTGACCACCAGGATCTGGGGGAATGTTTGTTCACCAGAGCGCCCCAAGGGATGACGAGGTCGAACAGTCATAAACTACTACAAGACCGTTTCAGGCTGGACATAAGGAATAATTTCTTTACTGTCTGAGCCCCCAAGGTCTGGAACAGCCTGCCATCGGAGGTGGTTCAAGGACCTACATTGAACACCTTCAAGAGCAAATTGGATGCTTATGTTGCTGGGATCCTATGACCCCAGCTGACTTCCTGCCCTTTGGGCACGAGGCTGGACTCTATGATCTTCCAAGGTCCCTTCCAGCCCTAATGTCTATGAAATCTATGAAACATGGACCAAAGTTATCCAAATAAGTAACTAATTGCACTTATGAGTTTAAGGTTAAAAATCCAGACAGATATTTGCATTTATTTTGAAAGAATTTCTTACCATTTTACATGAATGCAATATAGATTTTTTTTCATGATCAATCTCATGAGTTCTTTCGTATTGTGCAGATGTTCTATAGCTGTATTGGTAAGTGTATTAATTCTACATGACACAAATGTCTGATTTCAGACATTTAACTTCCAACAGAATTGAAGAGCTCACTTGTGGCGGGATGGTGGAACAGGTGCAGGAAGCCTTTGGAGAGACCATGACTTCAGTGGTTTCATTGTGCGCTCGCTATCCCATTGCCTGTGCAAATAGCATTGGCCTCTTGTGCACTATACCTTATACGAGGTAAGAACGGCTTTTCCTCAAGCAAGACAAAATGAAATTAGTGCTGATACAGTTATGCTGTGTAGTAAACTGTTGTACAGAGGGCACTCTTTTTTTCTGGTTCCCTCACAGGCTGAGTTCAGTAAGTGGTATTTAACCATTGTTAGCATAAAGTGAACTCTGTAGGCTATAGTCTTCATCATGTCTTGGTAATGCTTTATATAGCACTTAATCTTCTCTTGGGCTTGGGGTAATGAATATGATGGTCCAGGGGTAATGCTGATGTATATCTGCAAATATTCCACTGCTTTTCCTTCAAGAGGACAAAATGTAAGGCAGGAAAAACAGAATTATCCAATACTGTAACAGAAGAAACATGTACATTGCTGAGTATCAGCAAACGTATGATATACCTGTGTGTCTAGCAAAAGACTGAGAAGTTATTGAAGTACGATCTTAATGCTTCTCTTTTTCTTCTGAGCAGGAGTGAAGAGAAGTGTTTGGTTCGCAGCGGCCTGGTACAGCTTATGGATCGGCTTTGTAGTCTGAGCAGCCAGACAGAATCCAGCTCGAATGAAAAGCAGACCAAGAAACAGAAGGTGGCCACTATGGCTTGGGCTGCCTTCCAGGTTTTAGCCAATCGCTGTGTTGAATGGGAGAAAGAAGAGGGTAGGAACAGTGTTAATAGCTTAAATTGTACATATTTTAAATAGAGAAGAAACAGTAAATGTCTCTTAAAATATTGCATTGACTAGGCACTGGCATTTAGCAGTAGCAGTGTTATACACAAACACTGAATTGGGGTTCAAAAACAGGGGGGGCGGTGTGGTTTCTAAATAAATCAAAGGAAATTTTTCATTCCAGAATTTTTCAAGGGGATAGAAACAGTTCATATTCTTCCTTGGCATTACTGCATGGGAAGGATTTTATCCTTTGTGTGTGTGTCTCTTTTTTTTTTTTAATCTTACAGCTCTGAACTTTAAACAGCAATATTGACTCTTTTATTTCTGTACTTCTAGAACATCACATTTCTAAAGTAATGTGAAATTTCTTGTAGCTGGACTTACCAGAGATTGGATTTACTTTTTATGTGACATAAGTAAAATTACTCATGGGGAAATGGCCAAAATTACAAATGTACTTTAACGTATCTGCATATAGAGTGTAGTCAAATGCACTTTACTGGCATAAGCATGTATAAGTATTTGTCCATTTGCTACTTGCAACTGCTTTTTACTTGAGGTTGGGTTTCATTTAACTCATAGATAAAAAAAATATTGTAGCATTTGTAAGCAAATGCTGTAAATTTATCATTCTCATCTCTTCCATTATGTGTAATGTTTATCCCCGCTCCTTTCTACCATTGTGATTTCTTATCATTTTTGCAGGTGGTTCAACAGAGGCTGTTCATTCTGGTCTGGCTCGTCAGGTCTCCAGCCTTCTTACCAATCACCTGGCTCGAGCTACAGAGTGCTGTGGTAACCAAGCTGCTGGAAATGATGCACTTCAGGATGTGCTTAGCCTTCTTAATGACCTGTCAAGGTAGGGGAAGACAGATTTTTTTTAATGCCTGAATTACTCTTCATTGTGGTGAAATCAGTGGGTTTTTCTCATAACTTTCATGTGTTTATTGTTGTCACTAGTCTGCATGCTTTGAAATGTTTGTTCAGCAGTCAAACTCCTAACTTAATGCCATGCTGAACCTGACCCTGCTGACTCACATGTGCAGTTTTTATTGACTTTAGTAGGAGCAACTGGAACAGCCACAGGATTGGAATGTCTGCAGCCTCAGATACTACTATTGGTATTTGACTATGTATGGGGGTTAGTTTTTGATTAGTGAAATATGATGCAAAGTTGTAACAGTTCAGCAATTATAGTTTCATAGTTGCTAGGGTCGGAAGGGACCTGAGCAGATCATCAAGTCCGACCCCCTGCCATGACAGGAAAGATTACTGGGGTCAAACGACCCCGGCAAGGTGTTCATCTAGCCTCCTCTTAAAGACCCCCAGGGTAGGAGCCAGCACC